GCTCAACATCTGCATGACACGTAAACCACCTTACCACTTAACTACAGAGGAAACAGGTGATTGTTTCAGGTCATAGTAGGGTTTGACAAGAGGAATTATAAATTGAATGAAATTCTTTTTACTTGAGTTGAATATATTGGATATTTGCAATTTCTCAAAGGAGATTGGGAATTTTAGTTTGTGAATTAATAAAGTAGAAGAGGATATGGCATGTCAACTTTTAAACCACAAGTGTTCACAGCAGATGGGCAGAAACAGGAGATATACCCAGGTACAGGTTGCTTCCTGATGACATCACCAACCCCACCCAGCAGCTCCAAAGCCAGGAGGCCAACCAGTCTCACAAGCAGAAAGCAGAGAGAGGGACGTCACAAAACTTATAATATTCAGAACAGTTTAACAGTTGGCGATACAATCATAAAAAAAAAACATGCTGGTTCCTGGTGTAGTACTGAAGACTTCACTGAAAGTTGTTTGGTAAGTGTGGTACATCTCAGTGTGGAGGTTCAAACCTTAAACCTCTGTGTGTAATTTAGCATATTCTTAAAAATATAGAGTGAGAGACTTCTGAAGTGACTAGCGGTTGCAATCAATCAATCAATCAATCAATCAATCAATCAACATTTATTTCTATAGCACTTTACAAAACCCAAAGGTACCCAAAGTGCTTAACAACAGTGTCAAATAACAATGAAAGTACATGAAGTACCAACAAAACAAAAACAAACAAACAATAAGACAATACAGAAAAGAAAAACAATGGAAAGTGTGACAGTGCTACAGGGTATTAAAAGCCTTTTAACATAGATAAAATACATTAAAACAGAATAAATAAACAAAAAAGGATAGCCCTAGTCAGAATTAAAAGCCATTCTAAAAAGGTAGGTCTTCAGCTTAGATTTAAAAAGGCTGACATCAGTAGTGGTGCGAATATCTGGGGGGAGCCTGTTCCACAATCTTGGAGCAGCAACAGCAAAAGAACGGTCACCCCATTGTTTGTATCTCGACCTTGGGACTTCTAACAGAAGCTGACCAGACGAACGCAGGGTCCTGCCACTATTGCGGATAGTTAAAATCTCTGACAAGTAGAGAGGAGCCAGGCCATTAATGGCATTAAAAACAAACAACAGAAGTTTAAAATCTAAGCCACTGACACCCCTGGTCATTTCCAAATATAATGCATCAACTGAGACATGACCTGACAGGGTGCAAACGGCATTTCCGATTACCTGATTATGAGATTTAAACTTATCACATTTGTGGCAGAATATCCCAAAACTGCTTAGTGAAGCTTGAGCAAACCATCCGCAAATGTGCATTCAATTTGGTTACAATTGCTTTTGCCATTTTTTATTTATGAGTATTAATGTAAAATTCAACTTAAAGACAAATGTTTGAAAAGAGCAGCAATGTCTGCAGCTGATCCTGCCAAAGTTTCGGAATGACTGGACAAATGGTCTGGGATGAGTTTGCAAAAGTACGATCTCTTTTTTTTTTGTGCCTAAGTAGTGGGTGGAATTTGCAACCCACTTGCCAATTTTGGTGAGTTTTTGTTGTATGGTTTTTGGTGCACAAACACTTTTAGAAGAAGAAGAGGAAGAAGAAGAAGAGGAATCTGAACAAAAAACAATAAGACTCCAAGAGCAGTCACTGCTTGGACACTAAAAATAAGTCACACCCCAGCCATCCCCCTCCTCTGATAAGTAAAGAACAGTTCCTAAAGTATGCTGTATTCACAGTTATATGATAAATTAACAGCTCTAATTTCAAGGATTATAATCATATTTAGGGTTTAAAATTGGGTTAGCAGAACTGGAAAGACTATAAAACCTTTATTTATATGAGCTAGTGTGTAGAAATTGTAACCTAATATGGAAAATACAATGGAATTTAAAAACAGTGATGTATGCTAAGATACATGCTGATTAATGTTGAGTGTAAGTTTACAGGTATTCATACAGTGCATATCTCTAAGCCATAATGTATCAATTTATATAATCATAATTCTGAAATGTAAACAACCTACATGAGGGGCTGTTCTTTATGTACAGTACAGGCCAAAAGTTTGGACACACCTTCTCATTCAATGCGTTTTCTTTATTTTCATGACTATTTACATTGTAGATTCTCACTGAAGGCATCAAAACTATGAATGAACACATGTGGAGTTATGTACTTAACAAAAAAAGGTGAAATAACTGAAAACATGTTTTATATTCTAGTTTCTTCAAAATAGCCACCCTTTGCTCTGATTACTGCTTTGCACACTCTTGGCATTCTCTCCATGAGCTTCAAGAGGTAGTCACCTGAAATGGTTTCCACTTCACAGGTGTGCCTTATCAGGGTTAATTAGTGGAATTTCTTGCTTTATCAATGGGGTTGGGACCATCAGTTGTGTTGTGCAGAAGTCAGGTTAATACACAGCCGACAGCCCTATTGGACAACTGTTAAAAATCATATTATGGCAAGAACCAATCAGCTAACTAAAGAAAAACGAGTGGCCATCATTAGTTTAAGAAATGAAGGTCAGTCAGTCCGGAAAATTGCAAAAACTTTAAATGTGTCCCCAAGTGGAGTCGCAAAAACCATCAAGCGCTACAACGAAACTGGCACACATGAGGACCGACCCAGGAAAGGAAGACCAAGAGTCACCTCTGCTTCTGAGGATAAGTTCATCCGAGTCACCAGCCTCAGAAATCGTAAGTTAACAGCAGCTCAGATCAGAGACCAGATGAATGCCACACAGAGTTCTAGCAGCAGACCCATCTCTAGAACAACTGTTAAGAGGAGACTGCGCCAATCAGGCCTTCATGGTCAAATAGCTGCTAGGAAACCACTGCTAAGGAGAGGCAACAAGCAGAAGAGATTTGTTTGGGCCAAGAAACACAAGGAATGGACATTAGACCAGTGGAAATCTCTGCTTTGGTCTGATGAGTCCAAATTTGAGATCTTTGGTTCCAACCGCCGTGTCTTTGTGAGACGCAGAAAAGGTGAACGGATGGATTCCACATGCCTGGTTCCCACTGTGAAGCATGGAGGAGGAGGTGTGATGGTGTGGGGGTGTTTTGCTGGTGACACTGTTGGGGATTTATTCAAAATTGAAGGCACACTGAACCAGCATGGCTACCACAGCATCCTGCAGCGACATGCCATCCCATCCGGTTTGCGTTTAGTTGGACGATCATTTATTTTTCAACAGGACAATGACCCCAAACACACCTCCAGGCTGTGTAAGGGCTATTTGACCAAGAAGGAGAGTGATGGAGTGCTGCGGCAGATGACCTGGCCTCCACAGTCACCGGACCTGAACCCAATCGAGATGGTTTGGGGTGAGCTGGACCGCAGAGTGAAGGCAAAGGGGCCAACAAGTGCTAAACACCTCTGGGAACTCCTTCAAGACTGTTGGAAAACCATTTCAGGTGACTACCTCTTGAAGCTCATGGAGAGAATGCCAAGAGTGTGCAAAGCAGTAATCAGAGCAAAGGGTGGCTATTTTGAAGAAACTAGAATATAAAACATGTTTTCAGTTATTTCACCTTTTTTTGTTAAGTACATAACTCCACATGTGTTCATTCATAGTTTTGATGCCTTCAGTGAGAATCTACAATGTAAATAGTCATGAAAATAAAGAAAACGCATTGAATGAGAAGGTGTGTCCAAACTTTTGGCCTGTACTGTATATGATGAGCAAAGTGGTTGGGGTGTGACCTCATTTATTTGATGGGACAGTGGTAGTATCAAAGGTTGTGAGAGAGAGAGGGGATGACATGCAGCAAAGGGCTGCAGGTTGGAATCAAGCCTGTGGCCAGTGTGGCAAGGATGTAGCCTTTGTACATGGGGCATCTGCTCTACCAGGTGAGCTACTCAGCGCCCTGACTTTGTGGGTTTAATTTTATTTATCTATTTATATTTATTTAGTTTTGTTTTTGTTTTTGACTCTCCCTGAAGTTACAAATATTTTCCTTGAGTCCCCCTGAGTGTCTGGGGGAAAATGTATAATGCTCCACCATAAATTAGTTATTAGATTTTTAAAACTTACCCTTTTATGTTTAAATGTTAAAAGTTAAAAGTGGAAGATGAAATCCTGCAGTTGAAAAAAGCCTCAGTTTTTCACTCTTAAATGTAGAATAAAATGATTTTGATAAAATATAACCATTTTTTCAACTCACATTTGGTTGTGTTTTTCCTGCCAAACATGAAGAGCTGCTGGAAATTTAAAAATCCAACAATTTCTGTTTTTACAGGTTCTGGCTATGATGCTTATTGTGTCATTTTAGCCAATCTAAATAAAACAAACAAAAACAGGTCTTGCAGGTTTGGAAGGAATTTTGTCTTTAAAAATGGGGCGGTAAAATACAACAATTTAAATTTGTATGCCCCTCTCCTAAGCCAAAATAAAAAACTCAAGTCTCTCCCCAGTGCTTAAAAAAATATTTGATGTGCCCCTCCCTTTTTGCACCACCCCCTTAGTATTCTTTTTTCACAAGCATAGAGGGAACTTATATCTTTATATTCCAGTCATTGTGTTCTTTCTTCTGTCTTGGTTATTTTGTTTTGTCAGTCTCATTAATTTTATATTTTAGATTGGCCTAGCTTATTTCAATGTCTTTTAATAGCTCTTGTTTTGTTTAAGGGCATTATGTTTTTTTCTATGATGAAATCCAACTTCATTCATTATTCACAATATGATTTGTGTTTAATTCTGATTTTGTTACATGTAGTGTTTTTGTTAGCTATCTTACATGAGTTGTAGGAACTTGTATTGCTGCTATCTTGGCCAGGACACTCTTGGAATCTTGTTAAACTCACTGGATTCCCTGACAATACTTTTACAATAATCTTTTATCCATTTCTACAGTATATTTTCCCTGCAGATTTCTACTCTTGCAGACCTCCTCTTCCATCATCAGGTATGCATCCTCCACTGCACTTTAAACTGCTTGTGTTACTGTCTGGATGAGACATGTAGCCTGTATCAGGTAAACAGACATCAGAGGCAGTTACCAAATGGCCATTAAGTCTTTATTAAACCAACAAATTGCACATGTTCAGGTTTCAGAGGTTGCTTCAGTGAGTGGAACTGTTTGACCACTACACAATTCATCCTAAAGGAAGTAAAACAAGTTATCATATTTCTCAAAAATTACAGTTGCTACAATGCTGATATAAAATATACTACTCTTCTAAGAATGCATTAAAAAGGTTTCTCCATCATGTTTTTTTCACATCATCTAACCTGTGTCATGGAATATAACATAACACTGTTTTTATAGTTTATTTAAGTGCTGTAACTCTAATAAGACCAATGTTAAAAATGTCCCTTGAATGCTCCACCTTTTCCAGATACGCAAGGGTTCCCTGTTTTAATTCTCGACCCATGTATTCTGTATTTTGAATAATTTTCTACCAGGAGGGCTGTCAATCCACCCATGCAAATACCACCTACTGCATGCACAGAGGACTTTAACACTGCTAAACTGGATGTGTAGGTGTATTTTGTGGACAGCAGCTCTGAATGGTGAATTAGTTAATTACCAAACCAACAGTGAATTATCAAACCAACCTAAGAACAAAGGAATATATGCATGACAGACCAGTGTGCATCAGACACAGGATCCTAAGGGATTTTTTTCCTGAAAATTCCTCACACTCATAACACTATACGTAACCCAGTGAAAACACAATGCAAATTGTCTATAACAAACTGTCAGTTCGTTGTGTTAGTTCAATGCTAATCTGTAAATATTAAGATAACGCAGTGAGTTACATAGGATCATACAAACTATCTTAACACACACCCAAGGTGCTTTATTTGGTCCTACTTTAAGTTGTACCTAATGATTTCAATTACCCACTGTCATATATTTTAGGTATTCAACAGCTACGGTTCATAAAGGGTACCCATCAAGTTTCAGTCAAGAAGACAATAGTTGGGAAATTTGGCATTTCTGCTGCTCTGGGGAAAGCAAACACCACTTGTTGCCCTTTTTTATTTTTTAACCAGGAAGCTGTAAAGGCTACAGATGTGTATTTGGATAAATCTTGTCCCCTGAAATTAAGACTACTAATCAAATACATAAATGGTCCTACAACAGAAGCTGACCAAAGTAAAAAAGTCTGATTGTGCTTAATATTCAAGACTGTGTTCAGGTATGGATGACCTTAATTTCCTAAGCCTGCGTATATTCCAACTGTACCATTCACTTTCAACCAAAACGCTCTGAGCTTTACATATTCAATAAAAAAGCACTGTCCTTCATATCTGATACTGTACAGACAGGGCAGGTGTAGCTGTCAGAGATCCACTACAGGTGAACATCAAACACCCTGTGTCCTCACAGCCAGTGCAGTACACATCATCATTCCTTTATCAAACCTCACTGTAGATATAAGCTAATTTCATCGAATAGAAGGTGTGGTATACAGATGCATATCTTTTTAGATATACGTTAACTAGGCTGTGTGTTTCCCACTGATTCGTGAAGGATGTGAAAGACTCAGGAGATAAGAGCAGGCTTTAAAACTGATCTCCTGTGTGACTGTGTTTGGCACAAAGGAGCCAAAGCCTTCAAACACTGGAGCTGATCTGAAGAACGATAGATGCTTCGCCACTAATCCCCCCTGCAGGTAAGAAGAGATAAACTGCACCAAAGAAGAAAAAAAAAACACAACAAACCCTGCGCTCATTGTTCAATTCAGCTCAGGTTAAAATGTCACCGGGCAGTAGCCACCTCGAGCTCTGAATGGCCTGACAAGAGCCAATCAAAAATACTGTCTTGTCCAGCGGAAACCACCAGGCAGCCAATCAGGAGCTCAGGTCTCACTGACAAGACTGTCTGGCTCATTCGGGGGCCAGCCAGTCCTGGCCTATGCTGCATGCAGATGTTCTCCAGCAGCCAGCCTCTAGCTTTGAGGTGGTGCAAAGACAATGCCATTCTGAGCACAGGCCTGGTGGAGAGATCCCTCAGTCCTGATGGGTCTTTTCCTGAATGAATTTGTACTCGTACTGAAAAACAAACAAACAAACAAACAAACAAACAAAAACAAGAGTGCAGGAAACAGTCACTGAACAGCTGAATCCACATTGATGGCCAGTTTCTTTGAGTATATAACACTATCTGATACTTTTGTTCTTATCAATTTACTGTCCATTTGAAGAAAGGAGCGTGAAACTAATACTAATTCAACATAATTTTTTGCAAAGCATAAGGTCTTACCAAGGCAAGCTGCCGTCCTATGTTTCCCATAGTTATAACCCCCGCAAAGAAGATGCAAGGTAACCAGGAGCGAATATACAGGAAGTCTGGAGAAGTATACCTGCACAGAGAGGAAGCACATGACAGCAACTCCTAACTCTTTCAACAATACATACAAACACTTAACTTTAATCAGTGTTTTGCTCCGACTGACTATTTAACAATAGGGTCAAATTCACCATACATTTTTAAGCAGAAGGAATCAAGTTTTCAAATACCAAAAAGAAACTGTGTCAGCTTTGTGTGAAAAACATTGATTTGTCATCAGAAATGCACTCCAGCAATTTTTAAAGTCAAACTGAAATCCCTGTTACTCATTTGGCAAACCATTTTTTTTTTTAATCTATTTTTGTATTAACCTGCAAACACTTTGATTGAGGAATCTTAGCCAGGCTAGGCATCGCTGGTGGAAGATGTACAGTGCCTTGCAAAAGTATTGACACCCTATTTTGTTGAGTCACAACCTTTTAAGTTGATTTTTATTTGGAGTCTTTTGCATTGGACCTACACAAAATTGTCAAATTTGTTGAAGTGACGTGAAAAAAAGCTTGTTTTAAAAAACTTTGAAAAATAAAAAACTATAATGTGGTGCATACATTCATATTCACCCACTTTGCTATGACGCCCCTGAATAAAGGTGTTTTCACATATAGTCCTTTTTAATTCTTTCCCCCTAAAGTTGACCAAAAAGTGAATTGACGGAAAAGGGACTCAGTTCACATATGTGCAAAAATGCTGAGTCACCACTCTGAGTCCATTTAGAGGGCTGAAAAGGACCAATTGTGAAAACACCCAAAGTGTCACATGATCTCAGTACATATACACCTGATCTGAAAGGCCCCCAGAGTGTGCAACACCACTAAGCACGTTTACCACCAAGCAAGTGGCAACATGAAGACCAATACCCCTTTTCGACAGTCATGGGCTGGCTTGGCTTGGTTTGGGCCATCAGCCCAGTGTGGCAGGTATTTGCATTTCCATTACTACAGGGCTGCCAAAAGTTCCACTTATTCAGTGATACACATTTCATTTCCTGTAGATTCTTCACAATAAAAGTCCCCTGTTATTTTGCTATATAAAAACTTTTATTGTTAAGCAGCAAAATCAGGAAATGTTGAGTTTTCAAGCAGCAACTTCACACAACTTACAATACAACTGAAAGCGAACATGAAACAGTAAAATAAAGCACCTAAAGTAAAAGGATGCAGGAGAGAAACTATAGTTCAAACCACAGAGATTCATTTAGAAGCTACAAAGAGATGACTGGGAAGCTACAGAGAGCTGAATACACAGAGACTTTTAAAAAGCCTTTCTCTCTGGTCTCCTGCGGTTTGTTTGTGGGGGAGAAGCAGGGTCGTCAGGGGTTGGCTGTGGTCAGCAAGACGTCACCGCTACCTGCCCTGCTTTTGGACCTAATCTGGAGATGGTTGTTCTCCGTTTGACATGGCACAGCGCATCTAACCTAATAATGGAAATGCAAATCTGCACAGCGTGGCTTGACTCAGCGCATACAAGGAGCTCTCCAAACAGGTCAGGGACGAAGTTGTGAAGAAATACAGATCAAGGTTGGGGTTCTAAGTTATGAAACTTAGTTTAAGATCTCACTGAACACCATTAAATCCATTATTAAAAAAAATTAAACAAACAAACAACAAAAAAAAAAACAATAATATGGCACCACAACAAACCTGCAAAGAGAGAACTGCCCACGAAAACTCAAGGACCAGTCAAAGAGAGACAAGAGATCAACAATAACTATATGTGAAGGAGCTGGAAAGTTCCAGAGCATAAAGTGGAGTATCTGTCCATTGGACCACTTTGACCACCACGTTTAAGTTAATCATTTTTTTGAAATTTAAAACTAGTTTTTTATTTTTTTCCCACTTCACCAATTGTGACTATTTTGTGTAGGCCTATTACAAAAAGTCCAAAAACCAATCCTTTTAAATTATAGGTTGTAATGCAACAAAATAGGAAAAACACCAGGGGGGTTGAATACTTTTTCACCTGCATCCTCTTCTTCGTCCTCCCTGTTCATGTTCCAGTTTTTTATCCATTTGCTTCTACACCATATCAATATGCAAACTAGTTGGGAAGGAACTTACTGAAAGACTCCATTATAAACCAGGAGTTGAGTGGCCAGTGTTGCCAACACGGCGATGCTGATTCCCAGGCCAAAGCCGCTGCGGGAGCGGTCAAACGTCCACCACAAACCAATGGAGAGCGCCGCCAGAGTCAGAGACAGTTGGACGTTGTTGGCAAAGTCCACTTTCTGACAGAGGTATAGTCAAGGACCAGGCAGTCAACAGCTGGTGGTTAAAAACTTCATTTAAATAGCTGTGTTGGAGTGCAGTGGTGCTGTGGAGATGTATGTACAACTTTACCTTTGACCCATTAGCCAGCAAATCCTGAGGAAAAAAAGCACAGCATGCACTGCATTAAATACTGGTGTGCAGTACACACACAAACCACTGCCTACACTGAAAGGGGAAAAAATGTCTAGTCTATCAAAGTTTTAGACGGACTAATTGTTTTTACGCCAACTGAACAGAACTACAACAGATGCATAAAGCCTCCAAACTTTAAGGATACAGCACTTGCGTGGTTGATACCCACAAACACAGCCACACAGCGCATCACACTGGACCATTCCCGCTTGAACTTGTGTGGCTCACCCAGACGGTTGTCGATACAGGGGTACAACAACCCAATCATCGCTGCAAGGGGAGAAAGGGACGGAGAATAAACAGAACAGAAAAACAAGAGGACACCCCAGCAGTTTTCACTACTGTGGTGGTACGGTCACCATGTACGCTGGTATTGTTTTGTTGAGAATAGGAATTCAGATAGCATACATGCTATTCTGACAGTATACACATACAGCCATGGAAGGATTATTGAATGAGCCTACCAAGCCCAAAGGTTCATGGCCCCCCAGACCAGAGACTCCAATTGATGTGACTGTTAACATTTCTTGTTGGAAATTAATCAACCACAAAGAGGTTCAAAACAGCCACGGAGAGACGCAGAGTAACAGGCAGAGACAGGTAACACAGGCAAAAATGTTTGAGATGATAACACTTCACTGCCTCTGTTAAATACACCATAAACTGATATGCGTCTGTTCTTACATTCGGTCACTGCTGTCAAGGCTTCTTTTGACAGTGAGCCAATCAGCCAATCAAATTCAAGCAAAACTGTGGCTGTATATGAAAGCAGGATTTTGACTGGACGGCTGCTCCATGCTACTTCACGTAAAGTTGATGAGTCATTACTGAAGGTCAGCTGACTTAAAGCATGGCTTTCCCCACTTCACGGCCAGTTTCAAATGCTTTATATGAATGAATGAATGAATGAATGAATCTGAATTTGTCTAATATACTTAAAAAGAAATTGCCAATTATCTTATTTCCTGGCAAAAAAAAGCTAATTTCACACACTGCCATTGGTATCATGAAAAACAGGAAAAGACTGCAGTGATTTGCTCACAGCTCACATGCTGATAACCTCTAGCCTAACTAATGTGGCTCCAAAACAAATTAACCTCTGCACTGTCAACAAAAAGCAGTAGCCCTACTCTGGGGGACAAAGCATAGTATGTGTACTAGCAACAAGTGGAAGCAACAGGCTCCTGCAGGAGGCATGGTGTGTCTGGGGAGGAAAAGAGCCTAGGGCTGTTGTGCTTTGTGCTGAGCCGCTTGGGAACAGACAGCGCTGCGCTGTATTTCCATCCACAGCTCTACACCCAAGGGACAACATTTCAATAACGCTGGCTAGTTGAGCCTGATGGGCATGTTGTGCATTCATATATAAGCATATATATGCGTATATGTGTGTGCAGTTATACTCCTGCATGTATACTCTTATGCAATTGCATTGAATAATTCTGTAGTTTCTATTTGTTCATCTCAGGAAAATCAAAAATATCTCATTGCACTTTGATTAACTGTAGTGTCTACATAGATAAAGTTAATCAATACAGCTCTGCACTCTTAAAGGAGCTATATGTAAGAAATCTAAATCTAATATGTCACAGAGAATAAGGAATAATGTTAATATAACATACTGATCTCACCGACAACAACAGCCAGAATATTCACATTTAAAAAAAAACTTTACGGTCTGCAAATCATGTTTATGTTCTGAATTTGTGTTTTGGCCTGTTGTGCCACCCACTGCCATCTACCAGTCACGCAGTCAGTAGAGTCGCAGCATCCGGGTTGCCAGTAGTTACGACTGAGCTACAATGGCTGACGGTGCGACTAAACCAAAACGACCTCGTTATGATTCCCAAAAACACCAAGACAAAACTCGAGGCAAAGCGAGGGTCTACTGCATATAGGAGATGCTTTTGAACGGTGAAGACGGTTTAAAGCGGAGAAGAATTTGAAATTGGATGTCGAAGTGGCTACTCTTTTCCTTGACAGGTAAGCTTTAGCCAAAGTTGGCTAACTAGCATCATAGCTAGACGGGGATGGACATTTCGAATACTTTCAACTGTTATTCATTTTCGATCATACATTGTAGCCCATGTGCAGGTGGGTCATCGACCCGACTGATTTTTTTGAGAAACAAACGTTAGCAGCACGGCAAGCAGCATTCGCAGTGTCCCGGTACATAGCTTAGCAGCCGGCTCCTCCTCCGCTGTATCCCAGCAGCAGCGTTAGCAGCAGAGAAACCGGACTTGCTCACGGTCCGCTGGAAAACCGAAGATCAAGGACGCGGCGACGCGGCCCTGCCACGGCAGCCGCCCGTGGGCAAACAAATCAGTCTCCAGCGTGCCGCTGTCCAGCAACCTCGAATCTGTAGGGGAGGGGGGGTAGACACGACTCGCGGCAGTATTTTGAATTTGAGTGCAGTAACCCAGTGTTTCCCACAGGATTTTGGGAAACTATGGGGGGGGGGGAATTTTGAACATTGTAAACTGAAATTGAAATGGATTTGTATACAAAATGTACAGAAAGGTAAAATCATCAAGTTTTGAAAAAGTATTGCAATTTCATTTTGTCTTTAATGTTATTATCTTATATTATCTTTGTAACATGATTATCTTATAGAATGTTATTACTATCCTAAAACATTCTCCAGGTCCTCTGAAACTCTGCAGGACTTATTTCCACCCTGCCCAGCAGCAGTACCGTGGCGAACGGTCCCTAACTGCGGGGAGAACGGAGCAGGCTTCACCGGAGGTCCGCCGCTTTTCCCGGTCCCTCTTCTCCACACTTTGGGCTCTAGTTTCGCAGACTGGGCGAGGCGAGGGCGCAGCGCACCTGCACTTCGCCAACTGGGTGTGGCCAGGCGGATTTTGCAAGTTTGGCACACCGTGCACGCTGGCACAGCTACTCGTCTGTCCCACCTCCGTCCCTCCTACCTGCGCAAGTCGGAAAGAGGGAGGAGAGAAGGTGTGGAGTGGGTTTTACACACATCACACCAATCAAATGAGCCCCTCTCCTCCCCCTTAAATGTGCCGCGCGAAGGCGTAATGAGAGTCATGGCAGAAGAGAGCAGCAGCGTCAGACGGCCAAACTTCTCCCAGGAGGAACCTGATGTTTTGGTCCAGGAGGTCTGCTCACAGCAGAGCAGACCTCCACGGGCTGATGATGCAAAGGTAGCCTGGGAGGAGGTCACCACAATTGTAAATCAATGTTGAGTTTCTCTCGTGCGCGCACACGCTCTCTCTTTCTCTCTCGCAGTCTCACTCTGTTTCTTTTCTTTTGACTTTTCTAAGATGACAGATGCTGAATATATACTCCCTATCTGATGCTGTGGCTGTGTGTGGTTGGCTGAGAGGGATGTGAACTCATTAGTTTGCAGCTGTGTTAATCAAATCAGGTTGGGTTTCCATTACGCATGCCAAACGTGCCAAACGGTGCCAATCCCCTTTGATCTGACATCAGATGTGA